GCACCATATTTCAACAGTTCCTAGGTTAAAAAATTTAAGACAAGTGATAATCGTATGTGGAAGTCTTACAGTGCACTTGAAATGCAGCATCCGGCAAGAGATACATACCATCCAGTGCTTCCATATCATAACAACATATATAACAAATTCTACTCTTCTTTCTAGCAGACTATTCCACATTACGTAAAATGAGCTGCTTTCACCACAATGAAAACTTCAGGGCTTCAGAGTGAAGGGGAGTATGGGATACTAAGCCAGCAACAGCTTGGAAAGAACAAACTCTACCTCAGAGAAAGGAATAGGGAAGAGAAAAAGTTAGGCTTAGCATTAAGTAGTTTTGCATATTAACTGAACCAGAGAGAAGGTAATTTTGAGCCTACCCTGAGACCAGGTATAAATCTGTGCTAGCATGCATCACCTGGGGAAAGGGGGAGGAACCCATGTCAGAATATCATGGTTTCCATGAGAGAAGATATTTTTCACTCAGAGAGAAGAAAAGCTGTCTAATAGGACTATCAAATAAAATTGTGAAAAACACATCTATCTCTCTTCCTGGCTCCGTTTTGTACGTGACAGGTTTTAGCTGGGTTTGGGCATTAATTCAAATGAGAGGTCATTGCTGTGAATCCCAAGTGAAGGGAGGCACCTTCCTCCAGAGTAGATGCGTTTGTTCAGCTATTCAAGCATAGCAAGGCTGCCAACTCTTCTTGCCAGTGTTTGCTACACAAGTCAGGCAGGCTAGTCCGAGGGCCAAGCTGTCAGAAAGGTCCCCTGCACTCAAAGGTATTACCTGAGGCATAACAGAGCCTTCGATCAGAAAAGCTGAGAATAAAGTAGCTCCTGCTCCAAAGCTGTTAAAGATACACCAAACATGGGAGCTAAAAACAAAAGTTACAGGAATTAAATGGTAGGCAGAAAAAGAAAACATTTCACACTTTAAGACTGCCAAATATTAGAAGTTACAGTTACCACAAAACTTACAGGTAGTGTAGATGCTCTGAACTTTTTGTTGTCCAAATATAAATTGTGGTATAGGGTATACGTTAGATCTTCTGCTCTAAGTTTTTCACTCTGAAATGTATTGTATATGGAGTATGCAGAACACCGTACTACCCAAAAACCTCAAACCATGCACCCTCCCCCCCCAACCCAAACCCAAACCTTGTCTTATCTAAACCATTTAACTTTCAGAAGGAACAGTTCAAACAAGTCACTGCACTTTGACGGTAGTGTAGCCCTTAGGGACCCACAGCACACTGTTTGCATGTGAAATATATTTTCTTTCATGTGACATAACTAGTGATATCCAAAGGCAAAATGGCATGGCTTGCTAACAGTTACTGCTATACACAAAATCTTCTAACTTTGCAGCAACTTACATTTGATAATTGAAGGAGTATTATCTAAATTCTGGAGCATCCTGGTGGCACAGATGCATCTTTGGAGATGTTTCAAATAAACTGTATGTTTGTATATGGGGAAAAGAGATGAGGCAGGAGGAATTCATTTAAACATAACACTCAAGTGAATGTTCTATTGACTTCATTAGTCATTTATAAGTAGCAGGTAGCATGGTACAGAAGATGCCCTTGGATTTTTAGAGCAAACATATTAACAAAGTACTTTCTACTAAACTGCCATTTAATCTGCTGTTGTTTTTTCAAGGTTATTATCTCCACCGAAGTTAATAAAAGAAGTGTCTCTCATAGCTCCAGTTTCAAGCTTTTAGTCAGCACAGGAAGTCTGATTTATCCTCCACTCTTGGACTTGCATTGAGAAACTTCAGAATTACATTTTCCTATAAAAAGCTAAGTATACAGGTATTTTTTTAAATATAAGTTTAGATTCTGGAGTCAAGTCTTGTTATAGGCAGTAATTTCAGCAACAAGTTCATGGCACAGAACGGAAATAGCCATAACCTATTATGGACACAAACTGAGGTGAGAAAATAAGCAGCTTGCCAAATAGTTGCTATACCTACAAGCCTTAAGTTGCAGAATTACAACATTCTAGTCACTGAAAGATGTCCTTTCAGAAAGAAGCTTACAAAAGAAAATCTCAGGTGGTTTAATATTAGTTTATTAAATCAGCAGTTTTTAATCACCACTTCCTAAAAATGATTACAAAGCATATTAAAATATATTACAGTATCTGCATGGAATTTATTGTGTAATCAAAGTGCAACAGTAAAACTTACAACTTTGCTTAGTTGGACAAACTGAAATACACTGCACAGGCGAGACACTCCCTCAAAAATGAAAGAGGGACTCTGAAGTGAAAATAAAATATTTAACAGAAGTATTAGAAAAAGTGAGCATGTGAAGCAGAAAACAAAGTTTATGTTCATCCTCTCAGTGCTAAGTTATACACATCCATATGCTTCAAATTCTCTGCTTGAATTCCAACAGTAGCAACAGCCACCAAATTAAGTGCATGTTGTGAAGGGAAGGGAGCAAGAAGAAAAAAAGAGAGGGTGCATTTCAAGTACTGGAGATGTATTATGTTGTTGAAAGTCAAGGGCCAGACACTGCTGCTTTGAGAGCAGGTCCCATAGAAGCTTCTGGGACTACAAGTCCATGCATCCCTGAACTCCAACAATTGGGACCTCATCCTGACCTTAAAAAAAAAAAAAAAATCTTTCTAAACTCACCATTTTCAGGCACAGTTTTAAACTGCTCTTGCTGTCATGTAGTGTGGTTATGAACTGGAACCCTGCGTTTTCTGTTCAAATGTGTAATAAAAGTCCAATTAATTGCTGTGGGAACAGAATCAGAGCTGGGGAACAAAATCATTGCAGAATAGCTGGGAAAGAGGCAAAAGCAGCAGTCTCTACTCTGGCTTAAGGCAGTGGACAACACCCCAGAGCACTGATTTCACAGAATGAATTCGACAGTTTCGTATGTTCTTGGAGCAAATCCAAAGTCCCAGGCATAAAATCCAAGACCTTGATCTTTCCTGAGCATAGATTAGTAATGACATTGAATGACAATGGCTACATCATACTGCTGTTCTCAATAACTACTTAAAGCACAATTTTATGAGAGAAGGTAATCCTGCTCCTTTCCACCTTCCTCATATTCCTAACACACTGAGCTCACTCCATGATCTTATTTGACTTGCTAACACAGCAAGGCACTACCCAAACTGTTCTGTGTGGCTGGCTTAGCTAACTGAACTGGCTTGCAGACAGATCCCACAGGCCACACAATTAGCACGGTGAACGGAGCAGGACTACAGGTCTGGGAGGAAGTAATGAGGAAAGAGATTCCCTCCTCTGAGCAATAACAAGCTACTAGATCAGTTCAGCTACTTAAGAAACCGTGGCTTAAAGATCACTTGAAACTTAACTGAAAGTAATTCAAGTACATGTGACCTCTGTTCAGATGCCAGTGCCCTGCACTGCACCACATATCTAGAAATACATTTATGCATTTAGCTCCGCATGCTGGTCCTGAAACATTTCTATTGCTTCAGGTAAACAGAGTGAATTTGCCCCTACTCCTATACATACTTTGTGCATTCCTCTTCCACTTCCTCTCCTCAAGTTTTGCAGGAAAAACAAACAAACAAATAAAATATATTTTTCAACCACCTCTAGATAAAATGTCTTCATTTAAAAATTGATGCATTTATAGTTTTCTCCTCAACCCCAAGTTAGTACACTGTCATGGAGTTTGGAAAACAAATGAAAGAGAAGCACAATTTTCTCCATTTTGCTACCAATAAAATAGAAAAATAAAATAGACAAGTCACTGAGAAACTACCCTGCTCCTCTCTCTTCACTGCAGAAGGATGTTTCTGCCGGCATGGGATCACACAGCTCCAGTGTGTTTAGAGCATCACCCCTGGAAGCTACACAGGGTGGCAATTCAGAACACAAGTCCACCCAGGAATCCTGTGCAGCTGAAGGGCAAGGAAAGGCAGACACAGCTGGAAGATCAGCAGCTTCCCAGAGCCTCTCAATTTTGCCTGCACTACAGTAGTCACAACACACAAGCTTGCTCTTCCTCCCAGCAGCTTTCCTTGCAACGCTAGTCAAGTGGGTCATTAGCGTAAGAGTTCGTCACTGACTGCAGACACTATACACACGAGCAAGCATACGTTAATACTTGTGCAAATATTTTTTTTTTTTTTTTTTTTTAAAAACCCCAATATCTATAGTTTTGTTTAAAAATACATTTTGCATACATTACACAAAGAATCGGTTACTCTGCATACATACAGTCATACAGGTAGACTTATAGTCAAGTTTCATAACTCTATTAATGTGCACAGGGGTGCACTATGGCTGATTTGGTTCCTAATTTAGATTTAACAGAAATAAAGTTAGTTTACTTGGGTGACAGGAGAAAAATCTAATAAGAATACTGAAAAACAGGCAAGTCCTCAAGAGTGATCAATTATGTCAGGGTATTCTTCATACAGAGTCCTGAAAATCTGGCAGGGTCAAGGAGTTCTTCTATCATTATTTAGAAAAGCTTCCTTGTTCTCACATGGCAGACCCCTGGCAAAATTCATAATTTCACAGCAGAATAGACAAGATGCAGAAAGATAGGGGGTCTGGAAAGATCTGAAGTATGAAACCAGACTGACAACCTACAAATACATAATTTGAAGAAAAAGCTGAAGCTTTTCTTAGATCACCTACAGATCTGAACACATAAGAGTGTAAATCTTAAGTTAGAGACAATACTCAAAATTTTTCCCTCCTCACCTCCACTGCAAGGATGATAAAACACTTTTTGATTTACTCTGTCCCAGAAGGCACTACTGCTACCACTTACTGGGACTCAGAAAAAGTGCTCAAAGTTACAGTACCTTTGATATGTAGGGTATTTTATAATACAAGTGGAGTACAAGTCAATTCTTGCTCATATGAACAGATGTAAACTGACTGCCAAGTCTGATTTCAGAAAGGAACTGGCCCTCCCCAAAAGACTTTGAAGCTCACAGGGCCAAAAATCTACCTTCTTCTGGTATACTGTTCAAAATCAGTTGTGAGCAGCTGATATGCTCAACATTTTGACTGTGTGGTTAGAAAAGGAATGTTTAGTAAACATCCATTCCTTTCTTGGATACTTCTCAATAAAGGAGTAATATTTAGAAGGACCAGTCTACCACCTATTAATCTCAATGTGAAGATTCCTATTAGTGGCTCCATCCTTCTGATCTGCCACCATAGGAATGGAATATCTCTTCTGTATTTGTCAGCTACATGCAGGCAACAGAAAGAGCTAAAGTTTTCTAATATATCTATATATAGTGTGTGTGTGTATATATATATATATTTTTTTTGTAACATATATAGAGAGATATCTGTATAATAAGGTGTAAATAGAAATTAACTCACGAAAGTTTCCCAAGACAATTCAATGTCAAGAGGCTGACTTTGCACAGTGCACCTTTCTGGAACAAAAAGTGAGGCTTTATTTCAATGGAAACATATGACTTTTTTAGCTAACAAAAACATTCTGCCATCATTTGAACAATTCAGGAATTCAAGGTCTGCAGAGCAGCTAAACTGAAACCTCAAAGGAAACTCCAAATTCAAGGAGGAAAGGAGATTCAGTTCTTTTAACTGAAAATACTTAATATATAGTGCTGTATAAAATAAAAAAAAAGCAGCTCTTCGGATTATAACAAGACACAGTGATGACAGACTGAAAGAATTATTTTAATATTTTGCACTTTTTACCCTAGCTGCTGAAATCTAAAAGCAACTCCGCCCATGCATTCTGAGCACTTCTTAAAGAGATCCTTCCCCGACTCTCTTCTTTCTCTACCCCCAAACTAAAAAAAAAACACACACACCACCACACCACCACCCTAAAATTTAAATTTCTTTGTATGTCTGCCTTTTCTTAAACTATACAAATGCTGACATTCACTCAGGTGCCTAGAGTATGCTTTTAGCATAAAAATGCTCCTTGCATAGGCAGGTGAATTTATGTTTAGAGTTTCCTTGCACTTACTATAAACAGTTTGGAGAGACTTGTGGTTGCCAAGCATTTAGGTTTGGCGAAGGTCGGTGATTTTATACACAGTCTTTTCTGCTTTATGGCTGTAAAGGCAGCAAGACATGGAAGCAAGACAATGAAAATACTTTCACCTTACATCACGCGTGGTCATAAATCTATACAAGGCACTTGTGATAAGCATGTCTCCGTGAAGGTCAGTAGGAACTATTACACGAATGTTTTCCTGCTACTATGCCTCTAATGTCAGTAACTTGTGTGGAATGTGCTATGAGATTTAAGGATCTAAGCCTAATTTCCAACTTTGGTGGTTTTAACACATTTGGTATCCCAAATCTTCATTCTTCTCCCTGTATTTTTCACTCTGCTGTCTGCAGAGGTTTCCTGTGAGATGGTGGCACCAGATGGGGAGGTAGCGTGCCAGGCAGTTCATATCCAGCCAGTTTAATCTTGATGAGATGTTTTGCCAATGCAAACTCCTCATCATCCAACATCCCATCACCATCACAGTCAGCAAGTTTCCAGATCTTCCCCAAGACACTGTTAGGTAGTTTGGAAGTCACCATCTCCTTCTTTGCATTGATCCCAGATATTTTGCCATTGATTGGTGACAGAGTATAGAAAATCTCATCATAAGCAGGTTTATCTTTGGCAACAACCCATTCCTCTTCATCAGCTCCTTCCTTGGCACCTTCTCCATATCCATGGCCAAAGGGTCCCGCCATTGTGCCATCAAATGCCCCACCATGCACCATCTGTGTGGGCATATTGCTCTCTTCCTGGCTGATTAGGCTCATCAGGGAGGCAATTTTATTGGCCAGCATGTTATCCACAGCTTCAATTAACTTTGGTTTCAAAGAGTGAAATTTAGTAAAGTCACAAGTCTCCAGCTGCTCCTGTCAATGACAAATATATAAACAAACAAAAAACCCCTAAAGGTTTCAATGATAGTTCAGTTAGAAAGACTTGATTTACTGAAAAGATTGTTAAGGTATGGCCTTCAAATGACAACAATCTGTAAAGGTCTCTTTCGAAGCAATTCCCACAACTAAAACTCTTCCTGAAGGAGAAGTAAAGTAAGCATATAAATATCTATCATATACCTAATATATTGATCAAATACATTGAGACAATCTTGCAACAATGTACGAGCTCCTCTATTAAATTACATTTACAGTATAATTTTCAAAATGGCAGTGCATGATAACATGGCAGTTGATGAATGTTACCTAACAATTTTCCATTTGGCAATTTTCTTCCAATTATCGAAAGTAGTACGCAAGTAGGGCCTCAGTCCTGCTAACACTATGCAAGAATTTAAGGTGAAAAAAAATCTGTGTCGGAAGGACTGATCCGATTTTATAAATTTAACTTCTTGTTTGTGGTCAAGTTATGAAGAAAAGGCATTTACCAATAAAAATGAAATAAGAAAAACCTTACTGTGCTGGGATTATGGCTGCAGTATTTTTATGAATGTGCTGCTAGAATCCATGTGGTGATACAGTCCTGGCTGAGTTTTCATCTTGGACATGAACTCCTACTAACTTCAATGAGATTTTTATTAGGCAAGATGTGCCATTTCAACAAAAGCCTAAATACGTTTTATGTCAGGAGATGAAAAATTGAAAAGTGCTTCAGGCAATTATTAATTTTATCTAATCAGTTGTCACTTCTGCAAAACCATCATGTGACAATGGCACTGACCAAGCTTTGCAAGTATGGGGGCAACAATCCTTGCCAAGAGTTTTCATCCTGTTGAGATGATTACAGCAAGCATATCAGTCTTCGCTCCAGAAGAGATTCCCTCTTGATACAAAAAGCAACCTATAAGCTCTTAAAGCTTATAAGATAATGTAACTTATATAGCTCTTATGATTGTCCTATAGCATATATCTCTTATTAAAATACTACCATTGATCCTGTTTTTCAGTGCACAGACATTCCTGTCTATACAACTAAATCCATCTAAAAAGCTGCAAACCTTTATTTGGACTAAGTTTGTGTCTGTAGGCTGTCTCTCAGCTCCTGAAACATACTATTGTACAAGGTGCTCATTTGAAAGTCTTCAGTCACTAGAGATGGCTCGCCTTAATCAGAAAGAAACAGATTAAACAGTAGAGCTTCCCTAGCTGTGGCAATAGCCGATTTTAATTAACATTCCGCTTTTGGCCTGCTGAGTATAACTGGAAAATTATGGCCCCTCAGTGCTAATGACAGAAGTGATACTGACTGCAACAAAAACCAAGATTGAGAGTCTAGATTTCTACATAAAAATGCTAGCTGGGAAGAGACAGTTACAGTGGAAACTGTAAAAAGAAAAAAAAAATCTGTCAAAATGGTGTTAAACTGCTTTGACAATCACATTTCACTTAGGGAGCTGTTCTGCTACTCATCAGAACTACAACGACGTCAACCCAAGAAACCTGAAGTACAGGCAGATTGCTTGGTTAATGCACACAGAAGTGACAGGCACTCAGCTCCCCACTTCAGCAAAGCCCTTTGGATTTCTCAGGGAAAAAAGCCAACCAACAACCTCTAGCTCTATTTGGCTAAAGTTTGTGCACAATCTCCTGAATTACTGCAACTGATCAAGTATAAGCTTATGACATGCAATAAGTTTTAGAAAGCAAAGGTCAAACCTGTTATTTCTCACAATTTCCTTCCTCATCACAGAGGTGATTGATCTCTCATCTACATATTTGCTGCCATCTGCTGCTAAGGCTTAGAGATACACAACACTACTAGTCTGATAAAGTTCCATTCAAAAGTTTATTTCAATATCCACACTGACAAACGATCACCTCTCCTTCTCTCATTTCTTAACACCCACAGAAGTGGTAAGGGAAGAAAGGAGAAGTCAGCTTTTTCCACACAGCCCCCTTTTTAAAACCTAGCTTCATGAAATCCTTCCTCAATCCTGCAGCTGTGAAAACCTAACTGAAAGATCTTGTGCTTCATCTATAACTTACTGACTCATGAATTAATTTAGGAATCAATTTTTGCATAAGAGAAGCTTGTGCATTCTTGTGGGTAGATTAATGAAAAAAGTCAGTCATTGCTCTTTTTGATCATCAGCATGAATACACCTCATACAAATTGTTAGAATGATACACAAGTGTCAATCTGAAAGACATTCTCCACTACACCTGTGGATAGACCACAGTCAGACCAGACAACCAGCTCCTGATCTCATGTTCCTTGACTTGGATACTGAATTACTTTCTAATTCAAAGACCATCTAAGCAGCCTGTGTTGATTCCAGATGCCTGTGACAAAGGTTGACTACTATGAGATTACACAAACCAAAGGACTGGAAAGTCTTCCTTTCAGTCCACCCTCATTGCCAAATTGAGGTTTGGGGATAACTGAAACACTGCTAACAGCATAGCTGTCCTTCCCCAGAATACCTGTTATTTGAGGTGAGCTGATTAGAAACACAGAGAGAGCACAGAAATAATAGGTAAAAAAGTGACACAGAAATTTGGTAGTAAAAGCACATAACATTCAAAAAAGAAACAAGAAGAAACAAGAAATATTTACAAGTTTGCAAGAAGATAAACTGAAAACTTCTATTTTTATTCTTCACAGAATGCAGGCTCAAAAGGATAGGAAAAAAGCTGAAAGGTAACATTTTCAAAAGTGATAGCTTCTAAGTTGCACTCTTTAGGTAACACCTTTCCTCTATGACTCTGACTCACAGTATCAATAACAGCAGGAACAGAGTAGTGTAAATATGAATAACAACTGTCTAAGTATATTCTCACCTACCTAAGAATCTGATAACATCTTAGAAGAGAAATACCCACATTTAGGACAAGAACCAAGTACCACCTTAACCCATAAGCTTCCACTTCCATTTTATTTGCAAAGTCTTCTGAAAACATCTAGTACTATCTGCCATGGGGGGACAAAATATTGACTACAGAGGCAGAAGATCTGATTCCTTATGACAGTTCCCACAGTCTTGTAACACTGGATGTACACTCTAAGGAAATTATCAATTGCTGTCATTTTGCAGTACTTCTAAGTCATGCTAACCTCCTAACAGATAAATTATTGTTATTTCTGCTACTCTTTTGCTGTTTGCCTGAAGACTCTAGAACTACAACAATAAGAGACCTTGTCCTATCTTTTGTAATCCTCTTGGAAAGTTAATATCATTTCAGTGGAACTGTACTCTATTGTTTTACCTGCATTTTCTTGACCTCAGGGAAATCCCCTGCCGAGATCTGGTATTCTCTTTGCAGTTGGTTATAGATGTCGGGTAATCTGCTGATCAGCTCCTTCTTCTTGTTCTCTTTTCCAAATACAGATGGCATTTCTTTTTTCAGATAGCTGATGATATAAGCATGGACCTAAGAAGAAGCAAGGCTGAAATCAATACTAATGCTTATCTAAACTTAACAGCATTCACGTTCTTCATCCAGGCCATAAAAGGAAACAGAAAGAATGTGTTCCCTAAGTCAGCCTAAGGACAACATATAATCAACTATTGTTTGTGGAACAAACAAGGTAGATCAGTCTAAAAAGCTACACTGAAAGGGCCAGGGAGACATTTACAGTTACCATATAGTTTAGACTTCATGTTTACAGGAACAGGGGTTAGCAGTGCAAATACAGATCATATACATTCAATATTACTTCCTCATATCGAAAAAGAGTGCATGTGTTTCAATAGCAAATAAGTTTAATTTCTGCAGAGAAGAAAAAGACTTAAGGTTTCTGCATAAAGCCCTAAAAAAACACCACACACCCTAATGGGGGAGCGATATTTCTCTATATCGACAAACAATTAATTCAAAAAGTATTTCAAACAGACCTTATAAATAATCTGAAGTTTTATGGAACTTATGTTTAAAATAATACTTCCAGCAAAGAGAGGAAAGCATGTTTATAGCTACCAAGCACTAACATGCACATGCTCAGTGATCTAAGATCTGGAAATAGCCACATGTTTCTTATAGATAAGAATAGTTTCCATCTTCAAAATGGGAGAGTAAGTCACGTGAGTTTAAAATACGAAGAAAAGGCTAAACCTCAAATCTGACAGCCAGTTAACAGTTTGAGTTTATTTGAGTTTATTCTGGGTTCCTGCAAATGTTTTAGAGATTAATGAACAGAGTGGTACAGAAATAGGACAAATAAGTAAATACTGTGCAACGCTCTAAAAATGATTTTTGAGTGTCAGTACTTTAAGGTCAGTGCAGAAGATGAAAAGATGACACAGGAAGGATTACATTGCTACTACCCTGCAGATAAGCAGTTTATTCTCCCTCTGTAGCTGTCATATCAGCATGCTTTATGAACGCTATATTTTGTATTCACCTTTACCCATTTTTATTTTACATTAAGCAAAAACCCCTAAAAACAATCCATCTGCCTCTGACGCACTTCAGCTTCCAAAACAATTGCTATGAATGAAGATAAAGAGTTGCCAGCAATGTTTACAAAACAGATTGAGATTATGGAAATAAGAGCTTAACTTTTAACACAGTAATATCAGGTATATGATATTAAATTGAATTTTCAGAAGCAATTGTTACCGGTTTCCCTAAAGCTCAGGCCATAAAGAAAAACTAAACGTGTCATCATTCTGAGGTTATTTTTCCTTCTTTTCCCGTTTTCCAAGTGACAAATTTTAATTCTTGCATCACCAACATTCATATTGTTCTTGAGTTTTTAAAAACAAGCAGCTTGGCAGTATTTTCAACTACTAATCTAGTGGTAGCTGCAGAATCAGAGAAAGAGGTAAAGAAATACTTCAGACAGTAACCAGAGCTTATTCTCGTTGGGCTATGACAAGAAAGAGCAGCTGAAGCTAGTGTTAAGCAGGGATTCTGAAGATCACTGTAAAATGTAGTCAGAAGACTTTACAAACAGATATCAAAACTTGGTAGTAGAAGAGCTTTAAAGTGACATCCACTTATTCATTTAAGAAAACTAGAGACCTATCAAAAAAATTAAACACATTTTCCATAGTCAGCTGTAGACAGAGTCAGTGCTCTTGCACTCAGCCTGCATACACACCCTAGCTCGTGCCTGTAAATTGCACACAACACAAGTACTTTTCCAGAGCAGACAACAAGAGGACAGTGACAGAGGGCGAGCAGAGGACAACAACAGATGGATTTTTCTGGATACAATGATACAAAGTTCCTATTGCCTAAATACCTCTGGGACTGGGGATGAATCTGAGAGCTTACTTTTTATTTTGAGGTAAAAAGTCTCATCTAACACACAAGCACCTCTGTTAAATACCTGCATACCCAAGTTTCACCAAGAATAACAACGTTTCGATTAATCTTCTAATTTCAGGGTATTACATGTATTTAGTACAAATATTTTTCCACAGCAACTGGCTGGCAGTATTCTCTAATGGATTAAATGAATAAATGATCACATGGAAGGTTGGAGAGAAGAGAATTAGTTTTTCAGGGTCTTAGAAAGCCCTCGGCTAATTTCACTGGAGAGGCAGTTCACCTGACATTTTCAAATTTATTTTGTTCTTGTCATGTGGGTGCTGTTTTAGTTGCTTTTCTCCACCTCCCCCTTTTTTAAAGCTCTGTACATACCAACTGTTGTTAAAAAAAAGCAGATTAACTTCAAACAGTAGTAAGTTCACCTCATTGTACAGGCTAAAAAAACCTCAGTCCTCTATCAAGCAAAAAAATAGCTTTAATGGCCACAAAGGCATCAAATCCCTTCTCTAGAAGTTAGGGAGGCATCCTACTACAAGTCTTTTTTTTTTTTTTTCCTTCCTATTTGCTTCTACAGATTTTCTGAGTGGATATCTCCTCCTATTAAAAAATAAGAATCCAATCCATTTACTGAGAAACGCACAGTTTATAAGTAAAGAAAGATTGGGAAGGATGTGAAAGGACAAAATGAAAAGGATAGAAGTGATTGCTCGTTCAGCTAACTTAAGTCTTTATCTTTTTTACCTTTGCAAGCCTTGCTCTCTTTATGAGATCATTGAGTTTCCGCACAGCGGCCTTCTGCGGGAGGCTCTGGATGTCCTTGAAAAGATCCTGTGCCTCTGCCTCAAAGAGTCTTCGATTCTCTGTGTTTTGGAGAGGATTGGCCCAGAAGGAGCCGATGTAGACCCGCAGCACCTCTGGAGTGTTGATGACCTTTCCCAGGGACCACATGAGTGCACCATAGACCCTCATCAGCTGCTGAGTGTCCACTTGGTCAGCCTTATTGAGCACCACTCGAATCTTGTCATCCTGGCCCCGAAATGACTTAATAGCCTCTGAAAACTCATCAGATATATCCAGCTTATGGGCATCAAAAAGCAGGATGATGCGGTCAACCCTTTCAGCGAACCACTGGAGGACTTGGCAGAAGTCATAACCTGGAAGAAAGAACAGACCTGTGAAAATCACTATTACAACTCTACTGGTTAGAGCAGTGAGTCTCAAAGAAGGTAGGGTTGGAGGTACAGAACAAGGGGATCACAGTATTTATCTGGGGGGAGAGGAATGGAGCACCTAGGGGAGAATGTCTGCAGACAGTGAGGTCAGGACAACTGTACCCTACATTTCCTTAGGCAGGTCTCACCTATTACCAACTTTTGTTTTCATCTTTCCACTTCCCCATTTTCCTCACCCCTCTCCTACGTCACTGTCCTCTGCCCCCTGGCAGTTACTGTCTCATACCCTTTGTTACCTTTTCCCTGAACTTGTGACTGCAGCACAGAGCCCAAGCTAAGAAGCTTTGTGAGGCTCTACAGCACAAGCTCTCTTCCTCACTGTTAATTCCAGCCCATCTCAGTAGCACTGCGTATCTGTACTAACTAGGAAAACAGTGAAGGTGCAGCACACCACTCAAATCAACAACCAAAAAGTATCTGCATTTTAAAAACATACCAAACTCATATCTCTCTGCCCTGCAATGTATCTGCCACGGTAAACTCAGAAATCCAATTTACAAGTAATGTGTGTTCCTGGTAGCTTTGAGGATGTGCCAGGTTACAAAACAGAACTGATCACTGACCTTTTTGATTATCTGGAACAAACTCTTTCTGACGTTCTAAAAGAAAGCCTATTTGTAGCATCTGTCCGAACCCTTTATAAACCCAGGTAGTAGCCTAATCTACACAACAAACAGTATTCAGGAACTCCTCCTGAAGTGACACATCCACAGGAAGTCATCAGATCTAATGATGTGGCATTGGGCTTGGCATATAAATGACTCATCTTGCTTGAGAAACAGCAAGATGTGAGCTTGAGGCCAATATCCCATCCCTCTTCTTCCTTTAAGCAAAAAAAACCCACAAAAACAAAAAACAAAAAAACCCAAAGACTGCTGTAAAGTAACCCAAATAGCATCTACAGTTTTGCCCTCCAGCAGCATGTATTTCAGTGCTGACAACAAAGAAAGCTCAGAGCTTAGATGCTGCTAGTGAGATCTCCAGGATATCTTCAGTCATTTCCCAGGAATAATCAGTATAAAACAAACCTTTAGAGCCCCCTCCCTTTCAGCTATGTGAAGCTGAAAGAGGGCTATGCAAAAAAGCATTTACTAGGATCCAAAAGGATGCAGATTAGACATATGAGCCTGCTACACAAAAAACACATAACCTTTCCCATTAAAAGGGCTGCTTTGCCAGGAATGCAAAATCCAGTCCTTTCCCAGATAATGTTGTTCTGGTGTTTTCATAGGTTTGTGCTTCCCCCCACCCTCTCTTGTGAATAGTTTCACAAGAACTGAACAAGAGAGAAAAGGAAGGGGCAAGGAGGAGAGCTGTACAAGATATATGAAGAGGATTCTTCTGACTTCACACTAACATTTAATCAAAAGCTGTATGATTAATTCTCATTTGTCTGTATAAAAACTTAACAGGAAAGAAAGGGAGAAGTGTCACTCGTCTGGACAACATAATTTCAACACTCTACGAATGCAAACAACGCAGTAATTTGTTCTGACTTCATTTATGTAGAAGGAAATTGGTCTGAATTGAAATACATAAAGTTGCAAAATGAAACAAGTTAAATTTTATTAATTTTTCCACAAATGGGTAAGTGGAAGGACAACTTATAGGGCTGGTTAAAATAATCTCTCCCCCACAAAACTCCACCACACATTTGATAGATTTTCAACTACAAAAATATTTTTTCCATTTAACATAATTACTGAGTTATATACACCATATATGTAAATATATTACATATAGTAATATATTAGTATAAACACCAATATGTACATTTAACAAGTGTATGTTAATAAACAAATTATTCTTAAACATGAATTAAATATTAATAAAGCATTTACTTTAAGAAAATCTAATTCATTAAAAATTGGTAAGAAAGGTCTCAGCTTTAAAGAACCTGAAAAAATCCATTAATTTTAATGAAAACTTGCCATTACAAGTGAACCTATTTTCTCCACAGGTTCAGTGGTTAGACCTAAGAGTATCCCTCAGCTGCAGGGAAGCGATGTTTGGTTACATATTTCAGCCGAGGGTTTCACATGGCCGATTTCACTATTGTTCCACTCTGTCCACCCTATTCACAGGGAACACAAAGCCGTATCTCATAACTGAAAGCAACGTTCTTTAAAGGAAACATAACCCAGCATTGTTAAATACAACACACTTAAGACCCTGCCTTATACTCTGTACGTACATGGAGTGGCATTTTCAAAGCTGAGCAGTGCTAGTTCCACACTGATCAGTTTGGAAAACCTGACCCAAAAAATCCTGTGTTGATAGCTTCTAAACTTTTTGCTTTTTTACTGTTGCTACTTCTTCAAAGGTTTGTCACAAAGACTGCTGTCAGCAATTATATCCTGCCTGAGGATCTGTGTCTACATTGTACGACCAGAAGTTACAGCAGCTACTTGCAAGCGCGTGTCAGAGTGCAAAAGTCGCCCTCACCACCAGCTAAGGGGCGCAGGAAAGCAGCAGCCTCCCCACAGGGCGGCAGAGCTCTAGAGCGCATCCTGGGCACGGGCAGGAACGCAGCGAGCTCCTGCTGGCACCAGAGACGCTCGACTACTGGGCCTCAGTAAGAGGCACAGCGCATAGGCTGCCAAGGAGAAGAGAATGAAACAACACGCGAAAGAGATGAAAGGGTTGGAGAGAGACTGTGCATGGTTTCCAGCACTGCAAAGACAGATGGCAGGAACGATGGTTAGCTTTCCTCTGGCACAGAGCAAACTAACAGCCTCATGCAGGACAGCCACAGCCATACTCACAGATACAACTATGCAATCCATGCAGTACAAGTGCAGGTCAGTTTGGTGTGCCAGTTACCAATAAACACGTAAACAAATAGTATACTTTCTCTTTGGGGCCTAAAGGGTATTATTTCCAACTTGCCTTAACCTTAACACCATCCCCCAAAGCTTTTATAATTCAGAAAACAGTTAAAAACCATGTCAGGCTCCACCCATGCTCCAAGAGCTGAGGGAGGCAGTGCAGAGCAGTAAGAGAGGCACCTCTCAGAGGAACACAGCGACAGACTGCCTCCAAGTTCAGAGAACAGTTTTCACTTTCTAGATCAAGCCGGGGAAGACAGAGCACTGGAGTGATCACAGCCGCCAGTGCTGTCCTAGCACCACAAAACTGATGTTGGGCTACAACACGCATTCTGGACCTGGACACAAGCAACCTTCACCCTAAAGAGATCTGTTTTTCTCATGGTTTTGCCAGAGACAGGCATCCAAACTAGCCTGCTCTTTCAAACGCAGCTCAGTCCCACAAAGAAAGATGCATTTTTTGCAAACATTCCTACCCTGGGGGAAGCTTCCAGTTATGCTACTGAAACCCTGACTCAATTCAGCACTCCTGGATAACGTTCTTACTGTATTCCTCTTGGCAGCCTCATCCTAAAGGGAAGGCACCGCACCTCACCACGAGGGAAAGCCTGACACAGTGCTGTAGCTACATGTATTACCTGATTTAATCCACAACTACATTTCACAAACAAAACTGAACTGAGAAAATTACCGGTATATAAGTAATGCCAGTTCTAAAAAAAGCAAACTCATCAATATTCTGCATTTTCCTTTGCATTCTTTCCCTGTGCTTCTTGAAACTCTTGCCTTTGGGTTTCAGTTACCATTTACATCCCTAGGAAACAATCATGAGACAGAGGAACTTGTGTTTCCTTCCCTAACCCATGGGCATTCATTGACATTTACAATAAAACATTAAGGCCTTGCCTTGAACACTGCCACAGGAAAGTCACCTACATACTCTGAGTAGCTGCTTTAATCATATAGAGGACAGTCATTCCAATACTAAATCATGAACCAAACAGCAGGCAGCACTTCCCCCCTCTCTTTTTAAAAGTAGTTCCTCCCCACGTCCTGGCAGCCCTTGCCTCACCTTCTTCCTCTCCTTGCACTCATTGTTTCTTTCAAATCTTGGCCAACATTCAGATATGTGCGCCTGAAATCAGCTTTGTAAACATCACTAGTCATGCTACAGACCCTTCTTGCACGCTCACTGCGTGCAGGCAGTACAGTGCCTCCCGTTGTCCGAGAGGGTGACAGCGCTGGCACATGTCTGTGCCTTCTCTTGAAATTACTTACAGTCAGTACAAAGTCAGGCAGGAAGCCTCTAGCACATGCTCCAGCTGATAAAGGAAGGGGAAAGGAGCGTCAAAAGCCAAACAGCTTTGAATGCTGTACTCTGTATTTTTGATCCTTCGGAAAGGGATCAGCTCCTTTTTTCAGGAGTACCTTGTCAACTTTCCAAAATTTTAAATAAAATTCGCTGGTAAGGAACACATAGCCTGTGTTTCGGGAGAATTCCTGGCCTGATTAGGAGTTCACCTTACTCATAGTGGTATCTGTCAAATCCTACCATTATGCAGGTGCTTTGTCCATTGATAGTTAAACAGCTAAGCAGTCACTCACAGTAAGGGGTGGGGGGGGAGAGGAAAAGAGTAGTGCGCAACTTTTATACTAAGATCCTGTAAGCTAAGAATGGTTGTTTCTCTTCCAAACATACTAAAACATCACCAGAAAGGAAAGTTGCTGCACACCAGTGTTAGAAAGTGGCCAAGCTTCCTCTGCTAGAACAAAATATACAAGCAAAAACTAATAACATGCAGAGTAGAAAGCATCTAAGAATAATTATCAGACAGTATTTAATGTCATATACACTACAGCATTATGAAAATCCCATCTTAGATATATTCTTCAAAAAACAGCACCAGTTTCATAAGAGAAAGGAAATCTTAGAAAAGAAGAAAAAGGATTATAAACTTTCAGTTAAGTTGTTGAAATGTAAAAGTTGCTCAAGCTGTTGAAATATAAAATTTTGAAATTGTTAGAAAATAAATTCTTCTAAAGAATTGCTCTGTATGTTTAAAACTTTCCTAGCAAGCAAAGAAGAGTCTTCTATACTTAAGCCTGTAATGGGGTTTAAGCAAAAGGAAACGGCAGTTCCAGAGAAGCACACAACCCACCTCCTTACTTCAGTAAGCAGCAGCCAAGGAATATAAGGGATAACAAATTTTTATCTGCACACTTTCAAACCAGCAAAGGTGTTTTCTTACAAACTTCCTTCGATGTAAACACATTTAAGGACTTTAGGAACCTTCTTGTAAAAACCTGCTTAGATTTGTACATACATTTTAAAAGGAATTTAAACAACTGAAGTTCAAAATGTGCTAAATTAGACCGGTAGCATAAATATGTTGCAGTCAGCCTGAATCCTTCAGGAAGCAGTTTAGAAAGTCCTTGCAGTGTGAAGCATCACAGGATAAGTCAAATTTGTACTCCACAAAACCATTTGTACTGGAAATACAGTCAGGAAATCATATACAGGAAGAGTATCTGACTATGCAAGACTTCAAAAATGTAAGGGTGAGCACAGGATTGCCAATCACAAGAACATGCAGTAATTCCTATAATCAATTGTAGTAACTCAGCGCATGTGGTGTCTAACCACATGAAACCTTAAACCTGGGCAGCAGTTGCCCTGCAAACCTGGAGCGCAGGGAATACAACTCTAAAGCTGACTCCCTAAGCCTTATTTATGATACAACCAAACTGGTCAAAGCTAAACAGCATACAGCAGACCCACAGTTTTAGTAAGAACTATGTCAAGTTATGTTATTTAACAAACTCCTAACAATGTCATGAAATGCAAACACAAGTCAAGTCAAAGCCTGTAAAACATAAGAAAAGTTTTGTGGCTGAGCACTGTGGAAGTCTACCATATCAAAGGGCAGGGACAACTAGGCCATAAAAGCAAATACGACACACACCATCAAGAAAGTTTTTGAACAGTAAAGCAGTAGTCATGTTTTGTTAATTAAAAAGACCAATTCTAGATGGCAGTGACGAACCATAGCCCTTTAAGCAATGCAAGACTACCAGTGAGACAACCTGGGACTACTAGTGAGACATAATCACATATGAAGTCTCGGATTGCCTAAGAAGTTCCACGATGGTAAAATTTTAACCACACAATCGCTCACTTTTTTGTGGCCAATTAGTGTGATGCTCTATTTTACTGTGTATTTCATATTTTCTTCCATACTGTTATGGCAGTGGCAGCAAATACCTGATTGCTGTCAATCATCATTTTCCCTTAATTTAATTGACAAAGCAGAGAGGGAGAAAGATGAGACTTTTTTGGTGGAGGGTAAAGGAACCTGAAAACCTAAACAGAGAAGCAGAAAAGTGAGATTTAAGACCATCACAATTCTATCAGACTCTAAACCAAGACTTATCCATTTTATGGACATATTATGAGAAGATTTTTAAGGACTAATAAGTATTTGTTATGTATTTGTTCATTTCTGCTTAAAATTTCATGTGTCAACTTGCAGTATTTGTTTTGCCCATCTGGTTTGGCAGCATTGAAGCCTTTGCTTGCACAAATGTAGAGCGCTCTTGCTGCTCATCTCTTAGTTGATCAATTTATCAGGTGTAGGAAAATATAACACACTCTCCACAATGAATGCTTCACATGTCTGTATGAGCAATGAACAGGACAGAACAGACACATTCTGACACTGAATAAAAAAAGGAGTCCTGAAATATTCAGCAGAGCATTTCACTAACCAAGTTAAGTTTGGTTTACAGTCTGAAGAAAACCAAAATCAAAATTTGTCTGGGCTAATAGCCCCAACTTGTTATTTTTATTGTGTTGGGTATTATGGAAGATGATATACTTCAGTGAAATTTTTTTTCCTTCCCACAAAGGAAGAAGAACTCAGGGATATCAGATATTCAAAGATATTCAGGGAAGGTGTTCCTAGGAGCAAAGACAGTTCTCATCTGCTCTCCACAGACACCAAATCCTTTACCCTATCTCTATCCCTAATACTGAGGCACTTCATTCCACCACGGTCTCCTGGCCCTCCCAGGTCTTAGTCCCTCTTTCTCCTGCTACCTTAACTCTCTTTCCTATGAGTGAAAACTATGTTATAATATTGCTTGGTAATGTCCTATGAAACACTAGCAACTGTGCCTACAGTTAGAACCTTACTTATAGCCTACATTCCTCAGTTCTTAAACATAACCAGTTTGAAGAGCTACAGCTATTATCAGATATACATACTACTGAAAATAATGAAGAAATAAGAGCCTAATTACTTAGCTGAAAGCCATTAAAATGATGAAAATAAGGCTCTCAGAAGACAGAAATCACTAATTAGTCAACAGCCCATGCAAGCATAGCCATTTGAAGATTAATTGCAGTCATATTAGCAGGATGAGAGAGATCAACATCACCAGTTTTCACTGGAATAAAGTCCAAACTACTTCCATCTTTAAGACATGGTTTTAATGGGCCTTGCGTTAAGAAAGTCTGGGAAACTGCACTGCTCAGTGCCACTAAAGTAGGTGCCTAACAGATCAGGATAATGGCTTTCTCAGTAAAGCAGAATTTGAGTTAGTGAATTTGGTTGTTTTTAACCCCTGCAGCTCACCTCTGCTGATGCGCTGTTTCTCTCCAGAGAGAATGCCTGGGCTGTCAATGATACTGATACTCTTCAGAACCTGGTTAGGTAATTGAGAACACATGAACCTGCAGGAAAAGAACAGAGAAACATATTAACTACAGCTCTAGCTCATGCATAGATTGTCCTTTGAAAGTCTCCCTTGATGTATCTGATTTCAGACAGATTTAAGAGATTAAAATATAGATATAGAGATATAGAGATACAGTTTCTGAAGTCCTTAATGAACCCATTTGGCAACTATACCTAATCAAAAACACCCCCCCCCAAATTAAAGCACCAAAAAAAAGAGAGAATCTTGTAAAACTATACATCAAAGTGCCAATAAAATTCCAAATATCAGAAGAGCTGACAACATGGGTGAAACCTGTAATATTAAAAAGCCAGCATACACAAACATTTTGCTAGGACCAAAACTGGTACATGCAAGAACCAAAACCTTATGTCCTTCATCTTTTGAATCTCTTTGGATTTGGCCAAAAGATAAGGGAAGCAGAGAGAAAGCTATAGTGACAATATGCTTGAATTACAGTTATTGGCCAGTCACAGTCTTACTTGTTCTAGCACTGTTTGAATGGTCACTATTTCTGACTTACCATGCTTCTTAGGTGGCAGTTGTGGAACTGAAAATACCAGTTTCTCCCACAAACAGAGCAAAAGTTTTCATATTGGTAGAATCAAGAGTTTACACACAGCAAACTGTAAATAACCTCCAATCTTTGTGACAGAAGACGAATTCAACGGTGGTGTTATGAAAAATAACTACTTTATAAGGCATCTGAGAGTTGTGGTGCCACAAGTTCAGGACACTTTCTATGTAAAAATCTACACTACTTGGATGCTTCTGCAATAATTTAAAACTTAAAGGAAGTTTATGATGAAGGGAGTTAAGAGATTTGCTTAAGAGTTTAACCTTACTAGGTAGCAGCTCAATACCATACTGTATTTATGTAACCTGCTCTCCTTCTTTAAAGCTTGTAAACCATGTCATGAGTCAAACTGAATACTCAAAACAAAAAGCTATCACTCTCAGAAATTTAGATTGAAATCTAACATGTGAATATAGCAACACTTTTTTTTTTTTTTTTTTTTGAACACTAGCATGAAGAGGTCTCCCAATTGTCACAGCTGTCAGTAGTACAAACAAGCAGAACTTCAGCTGTAAAACATCCTTCTCTCAAAGGCAATCTAATACATGGTTAAGTTGCAGGCTCAAATTGTAAGGTGGCTGCAAAGTGATAATTAATTGTTTTAGAAGGGATAATATCTACAGAATTAGGATATCACTGACAACAAATTGTAACCATGCTAAGTTCAGACAAATACTTTCTGAAGACCAAAAATAATCCAAGTTATGTATGGTCAGGCAGTCATGTATCAGACATGAAATGTAAGATCCATCATCAGATTTCTGAAGCTACTTATAAACAGATAACCCACAGATCCAGAAGATAAGTTCCAAGGAAATTAGGAAGAAATAAAAATCCTTACACCTAGCTTCACCTTTTTTCTCAGGTGACTATGAAATAATGATGCTGTAGTAACAAAAGCACAAAGAATCCCTTCTTTGATGCAACAGAAGAGACAGCATCAGCTCCTCTCTTCCTGAAACCAAAGAAGTGATATTAAAAAAAAAAAAAAGCAGCCATCTTGTCCTGATAATACCTTACTTTTTTTTTTTTTATTTTTTTTATTTACATACTACATATCCTGAAGCAAACTGCTCCACTTAAGCTACTTTGCACCAGCTTATAAGATGCTTTTGAAAGAGCAGTGAGGCTCTGTTGAACAAAACAAATTGTCTTCAAACTATCCAAAACGTAAAGCAGAAACTACGTTAAAGCAAACACACTTTGTGGAAGCATAATGATGTAGATAAGCGACAAAGAAAGTACCTTTGACCACCACAACCATTACAAAAACGTACACTCACGAGTACATACAACATGAAGTAGCTATCATAAATTTGGAATTTGTAAAGATTTGAGTTTTCATCTACGTTTCTTCAAACAACTTCATTTCAGTTTAGAAAGCCCTGCACTTGTTTAGTATCAGTGAGATGTTTCTCAGCATATCTTATGAGAAGACAAGAACGATTATTTCGGCTGAACAATGCTGCAGTATTTTGACCTAGGCATCAGTTGAACTGAGATAGCTGGGAAAGGTTGTACAAGAAAGAGTGCAACAAGCATAAATGTAACAACATTGCTGACTTCATAGCCGTCAGCAGTGTAGTGAGAAGGACAGTTCAGGGAAAGGATATGAAATAGGATAAGGTCAGATTAAAAGTAACTGGCTACAGTTTTTAGAGTAAATCTATAGTTTAAAGATGACAGAGGGAATGAAAATATTACTCCAAAACTCATTCAAAAACAATGTTCATTACAGTTTTAAGTTGTCCGAAATATCTGTTTTTGACATTGAGGCTTGGCTCTGAACCACCATGTCTTGCATGACCTCTATAAACATGAGTTAAGTGTTGTACCATAAAAAGCAAAGCTACATACTACCTGCCCAGATGAGAACAGACCTGCACAAAAACATAGCTTTACAAAAAATAGTTGCATGAGATGACTAAGTGCTTACGACACATTAGCATTCTAAGAACTTTGATAGTCTTGTGCTTTTCATATTATTATAAAATTGTTTTAAGGAAACTTGCAAATAAGAGTTGCATCATTTGCAAAAATGAAATCAACAATCCTTTAAAGATCTGCTGTTCTTTTTATTTAATTTTTTTTTTTTTTGAAGATCTATTTTGGATGATTCAAAGCATCTAATAAGAATGCACACAGCTTTTTATGTCCATTCAGAAATATATTAGAATGCAGCAGGATCACATGTTTATTCTCAGCAGTGTCAACTGTTGGGACTACTGCGATATTCTTCAGCTACATTTACTTTCTTCAGCATCCAAGGGCATACTAGGTCCCCCACTTCCAACTTGTATGTAGAATGTACATCTTTTCAGCTAGCAAACAACCTTGTCTGCATAAGATTCAGGATCTGGCACAACTAGCTAGAGAGCTGATTTAGCCACGAAATTATATTACCCACTCATCCAAACAAACATTTAGTAGTATTACATGTTCTGTTTAAGTGCAAGTATTAGAATATTGTGTAAAATATAATTTAAAATATAATTATATTAACTGGCTGCATGGATAACCTAGTATATAGTGACACAGGGAGAGAGAGAATTAGAATAGCGCTCTGGAACACAGAACTCTGCTAACGTTCTCCTTCACAGAAAAGGGTCTTAGGCCCCAAAAATATTATTTAAAATATGGCTTGACTGCAGCTTCCCATTGCATATATTTTTCTCTCTCACAAACTGATAGCCAAGTCAAATATAAGCAGCTATAAACTTTCTTCTGTGAAATGCACAGCAAGAGATAAGACTGTACATGATGAACTTTTAACACATGAGCTAGTTTTATCAGCCAAACAGGAAAGTTCATTGTTAAAAGAGAACCAATTTATCTTCATTGTCTTCCAAAACCAGGCCTCCATATCAAATCGTTATAAAGCGCAGGAAGAAAACAAGGTGATTGCTCACACCATCTGAATAAAGTTATTAATAACTTTGAACGGGAAATATTTAGCCTGTTATACAAGTTACCTGCTGCAATATCCATAGCCCCTCAACAACTTTCCCCTTTTCACAAATGTAAAACAGCCACCCAAAACTTAACACTAACCTCCTGTGTCTATCAGATTGCTCTGAGACCAGCTCCAAAATTAATCACTTATAGCTTGAATAAACAGTTTTTTCAGAAAGTATATTCAAATACTATCCATTTGTGTAGGCCTTTTTACACATCATAGCAATTCACAACTTTGAAGAACTATACCAAGAACTCTGGTGTACAGGAGACAGCGCAAAGCAACAAAACAGCATCAGAGAACAGTTCTCTGTTTTGGACAGCAGTTTTTAATAGTACTAATCTACTAGTTTAGCTTGGGCACAGATCTCTCTGCTCAATTGATCTAGAGCTTCAATTGCCTAATGCCTTACAAACAGGTCAACTGGTGCAGTGTTTCAGTAGTTTTCTGTGAACTGCTTTTAACAATGATTTTTCTTTTCCGGTAGTTTAATATTTTATATATATATATACACACACACACACACACACACACACACACACACACACACACACACACACACACACACACCCCTTATGTCTTTTTTTCCCTCTCCATTTTTTTCCTTAAAAACATATGTAGCTCTATGGTAATGTTACCTTACACAGTACTGTAATTATTAACTTACTTGAACTGCCACTACTCCTACTTGTATTTGAATACCCTTATTTCATATTGGTCAAAATGGGTACAGCAGAAAAGACTTAGTAAACATTGATGCTTGAAGATAGCAACTAGCAATTTAAAATTACAACCAAAAGACAGCAAATAACCAAGATCTCACCTGTTCAGGAAAGCATTTCCAAAGCGGCTGAGTTTGCGGAATGGCTTCTTAGGATCAACAACCAGGGCATTTCCAGGAACGCTTCCTTCTGGATCTCCATACATCACAGCAATAAAAGAATCTGTGGTAGGCTCTGGACCAATGCGCATGCCTGGAAAATCCTGTTCAAGCAGATACCTACAGATGGAGAACACAAAGGAACAAAATGAATGACCGAAATTGATGATAAAAAAAATAAATGCCTATAATTCTCTTCAAAATTCCCAAGGATGTATGTGTTCTAGAGTCATAAAATTACATTTTTCCTGCATTTCACTACTTCTGTTAGCAACCAGGGGTGGGAGGGGAACAGAAGTGAATTCCAGGTTTTCACAACAACTAGGTCATAAGATAAAGAAAGTCAATCCCTCTACAAAAAAAGCCTGGAAAGTATGTCCTCAACTATAGCATCTGGATCATTCAATTGTATGCTGCTACTAATGACCAGAGTGGTAGTGAGGGTCCTTTGCTAGGCTGGCTATAGCTAGCCAACACCATGCTGCTTACATTACAAGACACTGCTGCTTTTCTATGTCTCCTCAAGCTGTGAGTGCTGCTTGTACTCAGAGGGAGTGGTTTGAAACACAGTCCATTAACAGATTTGTCAGTTTGCTGACAGATCTAACCCTTAAATGAATTCAGTTACAACATAAGATGAGTTAAAGCTATAAAATCTTAACACAGGCACAGATCACACAGTTGTTGAGGCAATACAGGTACATCTGTCTAGGAGTAAGGAAAGGAGCTTTTATTTTGACCTGTGTATCAAATCGTAGTTGTCAAAGTTATAACTGCAGAACCTCAGGCCTAAAGGTAACTTATTTGCTAGAGGCATCAAGTCATGCAATGTTGTACCAACAGAAAGGCTTTTAAGTCTTCTGAGTAAGCTACTCAAGAGACACAAACATCACTTACGCAGTGGACCAAGTCTGACACAGCAAGACTTGACTTTCAAGATGAGAAGATCTCAAATGAAGGATGCACCTATTTAAATGCTAAAACTTAATGGAGCTGGAGTCTGTACTCAAAGAAAAGCCTGTTGGCATCCCTTCCTGGATGAAAAGGAAGAAGGAAGAGAACATACAAGCCTATGAAGTAAGCCTCCAGCTTACAAGATTCCTCCAGCCAACATTATGACAACTGCTACTTTTCAAATAAGGAGCAAACCACCCTTTTTACTTTTACAGAGCATCAGTACTACTGTCTTCATTCACAACAGCACAACCTTGAAAATTATCACCTTGAAAGACTATGGCCAAATTGCTTTTTCAGTATGCTGTAATTTGACATTACAATAGCATTAAAATCCTCTCTCAAATCAACAAAGTCTTACCAATAATTATTAATTCCACAGGTTTCATGTCACCTTGGAGTTTTTCAAACCAGTTTTGACCAACTATGATTTAGGGTTTTTGTTTTTTATTTTACTTTTTAAATAATCAACCTGGATTTAAATCAGAATTCTTCAGGCATGGGCAATGGTCCCACATTCAATGGCAATACTAGATAGCTTTGAGCATGTTCTAGATCGACACTGGTCTTTGAGCAGTAGGATTGTCCTTGTCCTTAATCTCACAACAGTTGTCTGCTCCTCTAATATTTCATGAGGCAATATTGATTTGAGAGGACTGACAGGCTGCTCTAGCTGTAAAAACATACCACAAAGTATCTGTATGTGTCAAAGAATCCTGTTCGTCTTTCAGTTCTCCAGTACCCAAACATTCAAAGCAGTTACAGTATCAGTGCACAGAAGCTAATTTTAAGGAACTAAGTCTATGCTACCCGTTTCAAAGATCTCTTTCCACCAGTCTTGTTAAATTGGTTTCCAAGCAGCTCAATGTTTTTACTCAAAGTTGCAGGGAACAATTCTATTTTCCTACAGGGAACCTATGATTTAAGGGGCTGAAAGCAGAGAACAGTTTGCAACTTTCTGCTTCCAAACTGAAAAAAAAAAAATTGCTTAAAAGCTGCAGGAAATGAGGAACATAAGAACACTGAGGACAGAACATGCTGCAGTCATTTGTTCTGCTTCTGGAGTAACCTGTACCTGATGCACAAGGACAGACATATAAAACAATCCCCTCAAAAAAACCCTGCACCTGTATGAGTGTACAACGCACCACACATGATCTACTTGATAAAGATGAAGGAACTAAATGAAGAAAAAAATCCTTTCTAAGCTCAACAGTTGAACTCTCTATGCATGGAAACACTGGAGTTTCAAGTGCTATAGCAAAGAGTTCAATTCCTGAAATAGAAAAGCCTATCCCTACCTTCACATGGAACATCATGACAGACTATAGTCCTCTAAAACAGCATGTAATGACTGATTTGCAACAGCCACTTTTTTTTAAACTAAAGTCAGACTAGATTTTATCTGAAGCATTGATTTTAAAAGCTTAATTATACTTTTAACTTCTAAAATGAGATTTCAACTTGCCATGATAAAATACTCTCCTTTTTAAAAATCTCTTATTTCTGCTTTTCCTTACTGCCCTTTTTTCAAGGGAAAAGAAATCTCTACAGGATTCATAACTAAGTTATTTTCTTAATATGAATCATCAATGCCAGACTCCTGCTGACAGGAGGCAAGCAGTTCATAAGGTGCTGACATAAGTGACAAGAAGCTCCCAGAGCAGCAGCAAACAGCATTGTACTGAATCAGATGTACTTAAGAAAAAAAATCACAGACCCTGAGTCACATAGAACTACATCATGGGATCTGAATGTAGGATAGCAGACCTCCAGGATAATAGTGTAATTGCTATCCATCAAAAGCTTATGAACCTGCCAGGCATGGTGATGGATCCTCAATGGTCTTCCTCCTTTAGATCACTTTTTTAAAAAAAAAACAAAAAACAAAAAACAAAAAAACACACACAACAACCAACCAACACCTTGTAGCCTGCTTGTGAAATTTCCAGCACATGCAACACTTGCAGAATTTATGAAGAGTTGAAAGTATCAAGCACCTTTTAGAATTTCCAGCACCTGGATTTTCAGCTCAGAACAAGAACAGTACAGATTCAGATTATCTGCATATTCAAGTAACTAGACAAATAATGGACTTGAATGTAACCGCTACTGAATTGTGAGGTTACTTTCAAACTAACTTCACACACTTGAGGAGGGGAAAAAAAAGCAAGCTTTTATAACGACAATAATCCACATAGGTAAGAGCTCCTTCCAAATATTCAGTCCTACCCAATGGTCGCAGTGCCTAGCGGAGCTACTCAACAGATGCAGGCACCACACTGTGAAGGCAGGCATTTTCCATTAAGACATCGTCTGCCAGTCACACATCAAGAATCAGTACAGCCTAAAATAAACCCTAGATCTTGAGTACTGGCTGTTTAAGCTATCACACTTCCTCTCAACATGAAAACATCAGCTTCACTTAGCTGCACAAAAGGGGAGACCAGTCTTCCATAAATGGAAATGTTGCAACTTTTTGTACAGTAGGCTACATTAAGATAGGAAAATACCTGGATTTTTAACATCCGTGACCTCATGGCCTTCTCAGGAATTTTCAGCAGAGAGGGAGTTCAAAAAGGCTAACAGGAAGAATGCTTAAAAATAGCACATGTCCCAGAGACAGTCTAGATCAAACAGACATCCTGTTGGCTCAAGGGACTTGCTCTTCTCCCTTTGTTTTCACCTGGGCTATAACCTTTCTCCTTTGCTGAAAAGCATCCATCTATTTCCCTTTGCAAGGCCTGTATCCGAACTACGGGAAACTGTTTTACAGAAGTTCCAGAGACAGCAAGAATTACCCAAAGCTCCTGATGCTCATAACCATCTGAAGGCTCAACCCGTCAGCTAAACACAGCAACATAGGCTTGCCAGACCCAGCAGCGCTGGGAAAGGATACACTAGTGATGGCTCTGATGCATGGAGACACACACTAAAGTCTCCTTTGACAAGGCTGTTTGACTCAAAACTAGTTATGCCCCATGTCCCACCACCGTCTTAAAAAAAAGAAAAACAAACAAAAACAAACAAAAAACACCCACAAAACAGAAAACCCACAACAAAACTAGCACAGGATTTTTGCTCTCTTGTATGATAGTTCTGCTCCAAATAAAAACTCATTGCATGTGGTGTCAATAAGAAAGAAGTTCCAGCTTTAAAACCCTGAGAAATTAAGAACAATTTTTTTTCCTCCAAAAGATGCAGCCCTTTCTTGCCACATAACCAACTGCAATTTTCTTGCAAGCTGTACATATTGTGTATACAATATGGTGCTTTTCCAAAATTCAGCTCTGGCTAAGTTAAATAGAAGGAAGTCTACCATTTTAACCTCTGAATAACTTCTCAGGAAACTCAAAGCACAGTCTGGCAAGCTGAGGAATTTAATTGTTTTTCCTCCTCTTGAGTTCTAATAAAAAAAAGTGAGTCTCTTACACTTCTAAAATACAGTTACTTATGAGTTAAACGCATTATTATAACAGACTAGAACTTTAGCTCTTCGTTAGAGAGAAAGAGATCAGCAACTACAAATTTGCATGTTCTAACTCCCATCTCTGATGCACTATAATTCTCCTCTGTTGCTCCTTCCTCTAGAGCAGCCATGACAAATTGAGAGAACTGCAAAAGCACCACAGGTATGTTGTCAAGCAGCTTACAGGCAAGATGAGCACTCTCACCCACCCTCCCACTCCATTAAAAAGAACAATCAGACAAAAGAGCATTGCTATTTGGGCCTGGCTGCATTTGCTTGAATTGTTAGCATTGTCAAAGACATAAAACAATATTGCCACGTTGCACCTTTCTCAGACAGTGAAAGTGGCCAGTTCCACTTTATTGTTCCAAGTGCAAAGAGTATAAGAGCATCAAGTGAAAGATCAGAAACACTGTCAGAAACCTAGAAATGTCTTTCGTTTGTTTGGTTTTTTGGATCTTAACACCTAGGGACATTTGGTCATTGCTAGATCAATGTTTTCCATGAAGACTTGCTGGAAGGAACTGGTGGATGTCTGTACATGTCAGAGCTGTAAAAACGTGAAGTTTTCATGGTAACTCCCTCATCAAGTTATCCTGTGTTATTTAAGAGCACAGAAAGTAAGTCCAAAATGAATATTTATCAGATAACAAAATTTTAGGTTCACATATAAACATAAGAGTAAACACTAAAGTAGATCTAGTACTTCCTCCTTTAATTCCATCTGCCAAGGTAGCAAACACCAAAGCACATCTTCAGAGGAATTATTCATCTAGTGTTATATAATTATGCAAACTAGTGTTTCATAGCCTCAGAAACTAAAAAACAAAACAAAAATCCTCCTCCACCGAAACGTATGATCTTTTTCCCTATTCAAGACAGTCTTCCATAAAAAGCTGACTATGAAATGAAGAATTGGGGAACAGAAGAGTTTAATTAAGATTTTAAATAATGTTTGCTTGTTAAAAGGTTGCCAAAAGAAAAAAAAAACATATATATATATAGCATAGCACTTCTCCATTGAAAATTCACCCCGTCAGAGAGAAAATTTATATGTGGTTGACCTGGACACTATAATAATCTCCCATTTCTTCTTTCATAAGTCTTGCCTTCACATAGAAGCAGTATTTCACTTCTCATTTCTTTGCTTTTTTTTTTCCTCTCTCAAAATTGCCCTTTGAATGTCAATGTGGTGTAACTTTTATATCGCTTTCTTACGTAGTTGTCCATTTTGAATGGAGTGTTTTCTCATTCCGATACTGACAGTTTTAAATCTATTCTATAGTGAACACAGATGTAATAAACATTTATCTGGTTTCCCCAGGCAAGGTGTTAACGGAGAGGCCGGACTGTGGTTCTGTAGAAGCAATAACAGCTGTTTTATTACAGATTGGGTCTCAAGGGTGAATTCCTTTCTGAGTTCTTTGATACCTAATAAGGGATTAAACCACACTGCAATCTACCTAAGATAGGAGAGAAGGGGGAAGAGAAGGGCATAGCACAGTAGAAGTCTCTTCCTCCACTCAGTCAGATATTTGAATAAAACTCTTAAGAAAATACCTTTGAAACCCTGCTTCTGTCAAATTTAGTTGACAGCTGTCAATGAGTTCAAAGTTTTTCAGGACATCTTCCCCCAACAGTGACCCATGAAGCCTCATTTCCTTGGGAAATTAGGCTAAGAAGGCTGGAAATAGTTGTAATAAATGATGTCTCTTTTCTTGCCCAGACTATACATTAATATCAGCCAGCCCTATCGCTGAGTATTTTAACGGACACATTCAAAGTGGTAACTGGTTACCTACAAAGCAGCAGTACCAAAAATACTTCTAAAGCACTATAAGGAACATTAGCGTTTCCAGGCTGGATATTGACTTATACTCCAGTCAAATTTGGACAGCTACAAAGGGCAGAAAATATGAACATCCATGAATCAAAAACACGTGTTCTCATCTAAGGCAAACTCCTACAGGAAAAGGAACGGGAGGAAAAAAAAAACCACCTATGAATTGCAAGTGACATAGCAACTCAGCAGACAGGCTGAACAGGTTCTGGTAAGTCAGTCTGGACCATTCTGTCTCAAAATTACCCATGCTCTCACCTTCCTCTGTCCATAAACCAAGAACAACATATATCTGGAAGTACATTCAGACTCACAAAGCAGTTTTAATTTGAACACCAGTAAGACAGACAATTAATCAGTCAGCATGCCTGAAGAAATTTTAGGAAAAACCCAAATCATCCCTCCTCACATCATCCCTCCCCACACACTTTCTGGCAACTACCTTTAGGGATCCTGAAATTAAGTTTCTCTTAATTATAGCCCTGTTTCTATTTTTACTTACTCCTCTGAGCAAACACACTGTATGTAAGTGTTTGCAGGAATTCAGTAATAACCAGTAAAGAACCAAGTTCTGCTTTACACTTCCAATTAGCTAGCTGTGAAACAGGAAAAGAAACATGACTGGCTCTGTAAACATCTGAAAAGCGCTCAGGTGAGTAAAGGCAAATATTGTTCCTCAATGCAGGAGAAGGGAGACAGGTCTTTTGCACAATAAAAAGAACAAAAGAATATTACAGTAAGGCTGCCAGTAACCTTTGAAACTAAAAGCGAGAGATCTGTAAAACCTCAAGGAAGACTGCAACAAACTTCAGGTATAAGAAGCAGGTAAAAATTTGATCCATCTGACCTCTCAGTGTCCTTTGGAAAGTTTTAAGTAATCTTTCTTAGAGATTTCCGAGATGCATGTAAGAGCCAAACACTGCAAGCACACGCAAGATAATAACGGAGGCACGTTTCAACCTCCTAACCTCATAGTTACTACCTTAGTAATAAGGAAAACAGAAAAGATGGAAAATACTGCAACAGCAACGTTATTGTTACGTTGACTTGCTAGCGATACTTCTTATTCGGTGTAATTAAACACAATAATGGGGAAAAAGAACTTTCAAGATACTACGGCATCTTTCACCCCAAACTGTTATCCCATTTCTCCCCCATCTTCACATACAGTCTGTTGCCGTAAGCTACTTTTTGGGAATGAATGGGAAGGAAAAGGTTAAAAGGTCTGTGATGGTAATGTTAGCTTCAAGTGACTCTTTTTCTTTGAAATAGTTTAGATGGCTAAAGTTAACAGGAAGTAGAAAAGGTTGCACTTTCCGAGCAAAACATGAAATTGAGAGAACGTTCTTAGGCAGGAAGCTGCCAGAAGTGACCCGTGCAGAGAGATGTTCAGCGGCTCCAGCGGCCCCCGCCGTCAGAGAGGGGCTTTTACCCCCGTTTTTGGCCCAGGAGCTCGGGGTCGGCAGCAGGGAAAGCCGAGCCCGCGGCCTGACGCCCGGCGAGGCG